ATTATATACTAAGTATGTACAAGTGCTTGTTAGCTTTGCTTTATTGTTATTTAACTATTTACTGTACTCAACTCATTTTGCTTACTTTTTCTTTTTGCTATAGGTTTATTGTTGTTATTGTAAAACTATTGTTTGTAAAATTCGTTTGGTTGTGTTTATGTATGTATGCTAAAAAAAAAAAACGTACTATTGCTGTTGTTGTTTTTGTATCACTCTGTTGTTGTTAGTATATTTTGTTGTTGTTATTGTTATTATTATTGTAAAATTAGTCTATTGAGCGCTATTTTCACAGTTGATTGGTTAACATGCAAAAAATGCATGCATTTAGTTCTATTTGTTTGTATGTATGTATGTTTGTAAGTGTATATTGCGTTTGTAGTTGTTGCTTTTTTGATATATATGTATATGTATATAATTAAGTTTTACTTTTGCTTTCATAGGCAAAATGTTTGCTCGTAAACATTTTCAAATAATTTTACTAAATTTGGTTTGCCTTTTTTGTATTGTTGTTTTTTGTTTTCTTGACTTACAACTAAAAATTTCTGCATATTTTTTTGTCCCTTTTTAATTTACACTCACACACTGCTTTTGTTTTTGTAGTTTTTTGTTATTTTCTTACTTTTCACATAGAAGGCTTGCTTAATTAAATTAATTATTATTTGTTTGTTGCAATAAATTTATTTTTTTTTTCAAATTATTTCAAAACTTCTAGTAGAAATTTTTTAGCAAATTTTATTTTTTTAGTTTAACTCTGCGCTATATTTCTATTAATATACATTTGTGTATATATTCAATATACCGAGACAATAATTAAAATTAATTAATTTTAATATTTTTAAACGTATTTTTAGCTTATTAAAAAATTTACATTTTAAGCATTTTATAGCTCTTTATCGCTTTGAATAAATTAATTAAACAACTTTTTGTTTGCATTAAAATCTTCTTCCTCTTCACTCAATGTATTATATATATATATATATATTTATGTTATACTCGTATGTAAGTAATATGTATGTGTATATAAACTTTATTTTATAGCTTCCTCTTTGCTTCTTTTCTTTACAATTCACATTTCATCTTTCTATGCCTACACAATTTTTGCTTCTTTGCTTGCTGAAAAATCAAGAAGTTAATTTTTTGCATGATTTTTACTTTCAGCGCTATTACAATAGTTTTATGTTTGTTTGCTTATTCTGCTTTTTGTTTGAGCTCAATTCTTCTTCTTTTTCTTTGTGTTTCTTCTATTTTCATTTTTAATTTGTAAATGCTTTTTCATAGTTTTTGTTTGTTTTTTTTTTTGTTTTTACTTCAGCCAAAATTGCAATTTTTTGTTGTTGAAATTTTTGAATTTTGAAATTTTGTTATAGCAACGTCGACACCGCTCAATTGTTGTTTTTATTGTTCTGCTGGCGCAGTTGTTGCTATTGTTTTGTTCTTATTTTGCGAAAAACGAGAACTAGAAAAATCTTTTCCAAAGGTGTGCCTAAACGAAAAATTTTGATTCGAACCAAAAAGTGTATTTACTACGAAAATTATTGGAATTGTTGTTGGCGTACGGAAGATACTGTCACGCTATTCGGAACAACAGCAGCTGCAATAATTTAAAGCCAACAACAGTTCCACAATTTTTTTTTTTTTTTTTTTTTTTGATTTTTAGCATTTAGTTTTCATTATTATATTTCACTGTTTTTTTTTTTTTTTCAAACAAAAAATTGTGCAGAACGTTTTTGAATGGTTTATTTTTTACGTTTTTACTGTTCATTTTTTTTGTAGATTTCATTTTTCTTGCTTGGTTTGCTGTATTTGCTAATTTTTAGTTCAACTGTTTATGTGCATTATTTAATTCATTTTGTATGTTTTCTTCAATTTTTTTTTTAATTTACTTTTTTGTTTCTATATATAAGTTTTAGGCGTATACTATATAAAAAATTTAACTACTTCTTTTAAAGTTTATTTATCATTATTATTTTTACTTATAGGCACCCAATTCACCAATCCATTATATGAAAAATTAAAAATTTATTTATATATTTCCAACTTTATAAGAGAACGTAAAGCTTATTGAACTGAAGAGGTTTATGATTTAAAAAAAAGAAAAACCTGTTTGAATTTTGCTTTCCGAAAAGTACTAAAACCAATAAAAAAGGAGGAAAAAATTGCATGTTTAATGTTTTTTGAAATTTTGCAAGCCAAAAGCGGTTCTCATAAGGTTGTGTAGAGCAAAAAGGTGTGTAGAATTGCGCAAATTGTGCGTGCTGATAACTTCAAGTGGGGGTATATAAAAATGTTTTCAAAAAGTTTTGAGGTTATGTTTTATTTATATAATTTTTTTTTATACATAAACAAATATGTGAACGCGCTTCCTCCTGCTACAAAATCACAGAGCAGTCGTCAAGTCAGCTTGAAGTTCACTTTGAAGCCAACAAAAGCACACACATAGTTTGCGACATTCCTTTTCAACCATATTTCGCTTGTTTTTATGAAATTAAAATCTTTTTCTATTACTTTAACATCCATTTTCTTCTCTAATAAGGTTTATGTTCAACATTGTTCTTGTATCAATTAACTTTTTTTTCATAAAATATTGCAGGTACATGCGGTTACTATTGATCACGTGAGAGCGTGAGAGCGCGCGTATGTTGCTTTACACGAAGTCACGCCTCACACCTCGGTGACATTTATATATATGTATGTTGTATGTATGTAGGTTTGTTTGTATGTTGTATGTATTGGAGCGTAATTTAATTAATATTATTTATGTTTCAAATTTACTTTTACTATTGTTTGTTGTAGTTGCTTGCTTGCTTGCTCTTGCTGTTGCTTTGGTATTTCATTTATAATTATTTCTATAAATTTATTGCATCTTTCGTTTACTATTTGTTTTTTACGTATATTTATTGTAGAAATGTTCATTGCTGTTGATGTTGTTGCTGCTACTTGGTTTTAATGACACTTGTGGTGTGGGAAGTAAGTAAGTATGTAAGTTAGTATGTTTGTATGTAAGAGCGTATTGTAACAAACTCAATTCAATTCACATTTCTATTAATATAAATATTTAATAAGAGAAATATAATTTATAAAGCAAAGCTGTTGATTAATATGTATTTATTACACATACATACAGCAATTGTAAATAAGGTTTACACAAGATGTATGCATGTCTGTATGAGCATATCGAAAGCACTTTTTGTTTGTAATTTATTTAATTGAAATCAAAAATAAAATGAGAAATTAACATTTACTTCAATATTAATTATCAATTGTTTAAATGTTTTCTTTTTGTTTTGTTATTATTATTATATATATATATGTATGAATATATTGAAATACTATTTATTTTCATTTAAATATTTGCAATGGCATCACTTTTGGAAATTCACACTCTAAAAACAAATTCTTTTATTTCTTAAAGTTTTTTTTTTTTAGTAGAGAAAAAAAATTCTTTACTTTTCTGCCACCAATCACTACTACTATCGCGTCGTTCGTGCTTTGGTGGGGAAAACTTGTTGAACTTGTACTATTTGGCTTTGCAGTTTTTAGGACTCTTCGTTTTATTTGCTTTTTGTTTGCTTTATTTTGTAATTATTTTCCCTATTTGAAGTTATTGTTGTTTCTTATTGTTTGCTTTGTTTGTTTGCTAACTTATTTTTAAACTATTGCATTTAAGTGTATTTTCTTCGTTTTCTATTTTTTGCACTTTGTAAATGATCTCTTCTATACAAATGTTTTACGTTCTTTCATTTTAAATTTACTTTAAATAAGGTACTATTTGTTGCTTTCATGTCTTATTGGACTATTGCCATTTTGGTATTGACTGTGTTGAAAAAAAAAAAATAAATGTAAAAATGTTTACAACATTGCTTGTTGTAGGTTTGTAAAGCATGCAATTTCAGTTCATGATTCGCAAGAGTGGTTGAAAAGTAATAATTTTCCAAGAAAAATAATAATAAAATTAAATGTTAATAAATTTATTGTGTTGAAAAAGTATATCTATGCAAGTAATTTGTTTTTTTTTTTTCATCATTGGCATACAACAATACCAATCAAAAACGTTCAAACTTCTGCTTTAATTGCTTGTGATCATTTTGTTGTTCTTTTTTTAAATTTGCAAAAAAAAAGTCGGCTTTGCCTTTGTGTATTGCAAAACTTCAATGATTCTTTTTATAATACAAAATTTGGGTTATGTATTGATTGATGTGCTTTCTTTTTACGAATTTTCGCGACAAATTAATTTTTTTATGTTTAGTATAAATGTTGCGTGGTGATTTTTAAAATATTAAAAAAAATGTAAGCTTTTATGTGACTTAAAATCATATTTTTTAAATTTTGTAAATTGCCATAAAAGAAAAAATAAAATTTAATAATAATAAAAAAATTCCAGATCTACTTAGCTGTAAAAAAAAAATATTTTCCATAAACTATTGTATAAAACAATTATAAAAAATGTGATACTCCAATTTCGCTTTAATACAAAAATCATGATCATTGAAAAATCCGAAAAATTTTAAACTTAGTTCATTTGAACTTAAAAAGATTTAAATAAAATAAAAAAAATAGTTTCAAGGCATACAAATTTAGTAAAATAAATATTATTCGAGTAAAAAAAATAATAAGTAAAATGCAATTTAAACTTTCAAATTTAACATTATAAAATTTAAATTCAATGCAATGCAAAAAAAAATTACTTTGCGCAACAAATCTTAGCTTAGATTTGTTTGTTGAAATTCCGTTAAATTAAAATTTAGTTTTTTTTTTAACATGAAAAAAAAAATGAAATCATTAAAACATGCATTTGGTACAACGTTTAATATTTCAACATATCCCAGCAACAATTTATACAATACATAACATGCTTTTAATAATTTATGTTGTAAAAACTGAAAAGGATTTTTATCTTGTATTTTTTTGTTTGAATTAATTTTGTTTATTTTTGAATCGTTTAAAAGAGTTTGCCATTCTCTCTTTTTCTTGCCATTTAGCTTGGATTCGAACACAATTCATAAATCTTTATATTTCTTCTTTTTATTTGCAGTTAAAGTGGCTTACAACAACAAGCATTATTTATAATTCGTAATGCAATTAACAGCACAATTCTAAAAAAAAAAATTTATTGTGAAAGAAATCTATAAATATTGCAGTTAAAAAATTTTACATGGTTAAAACAACAAAAAAAAATTAAAAAGAAATTTAAAAATCTTGCTTTTCGTTTTCTTCAATGTGCTTGCATTTGTTTAAAAAAAAAAAAAAAAAAAATTACTGGTTCTTTATGTAATATGAAGCATATTTTCAGGCTGATTCAACGCTATTTTGCTTGCTTTAATTTTGAACATCCACTTGCTTTGCTTGATATCTATTGTTGTGTTTTTGTATTAGCATCCCATTTTTCTTTTTCTCTTCTCTTTAAAATGTAAATTTATATTAACTCACAGCAGTTTGTTGTTGTTGTGCCCTGTGTATGCACAACACACAAACTTACAACTTCATCATAATTAATTTTCCATAAAATAATTAATTATTTATAATTATTGTTTTTTGTTTTACATATTTACTTTTTGTTTTAGCATATTTTTTGTTTTGTAACTAATTTACTCCATCCGAGCGCAACAGCGGTTGCAACAGTAGTCTCTGTTTTTCAGCTTCTTCTTCATCTTCCTTATATCTGAGCAGCGAAAGCTTGGCGCAAAAGCTTTGCCCTCAGTTTTTCTTTGAGTGCGCGTAAACGAAAATCGAACTTCATCATCATCTTCTTTCCCTTTTCTCCTCTACATTTCTACAATTTTTTTTTTGAACGTTTCGACAACTACAACGTTTATTCAGCAGCATTTGTTGTAGTTGTTGATGTTGGTTTAGCATTGGCATTCGCAGCATTTGTTTCAGCTTCAGTTTCCTTTCGTGTTGTGGTCACCTGCGTTTCATTTGCACCAGCGTCCGCAGCAGCTTCGGACTTGATGTTTACGTCGGCTTCCATTTGTACCGGTGGGTTTTGTGCCGCCTCATTAGAGACTGCATCTGTTGTTGGTGTTGCTATTGTGGTTTGAGTTGTATCAGCAGCGTTTTCTTTTAACGACTCAACGTCACCATGAACTGGCTTTTCCTCCTGCGTCGCTCTAATTCTGCTCGACGTAGACAAATCTGTCGCTTGTACGGCCGTGGTCGTTGGCAACTCATCCACATCGGATTCCATGCCGCTGGATGTATTCAAACGTTCCACAGTTGTGTCCGCCAGTTCACCGCACGATGAATCGATGGTGCTGATGGTGGAGTTATTGAGTCGTTCGTTGGCGGTCGTACTCGTAGTGGAGGTGTCGGTAACGGAGGTTGTAGCGCAACTGCTACCGGTGGTGTCCATTAGCGAGGTATCACCCTCGGTTGTACTCTCCACTGTGGTAGATAACTCTTGCTTTTCACGCTTTGCCTCCGGCTCATCCTCCTCCTTCGGCCTCGTCGCTGTAGCCGTTGTCAACACAGCACTACTCTCACTAACACTGCGTCCGACAGCCGTACTATTGCGTCGACGTTGCTGACGCTCTTTACGTTGTTGTTGTTGCTGATGTTTACGCTGCTCCAACTCGATTTGCTGCTGTACGAGTTGTTGTTGCTGCTGCTGTCTCCGCTCCTCAGCGGCACGCGTTGACGTGCTCGCTATAACGCCCACGGCAGCGGCGCTGGCGATCACATTACTGCTGCTGCTACTTGCTGTATCGCCAACGTTGCCACTGCCACTGCCACTGCTACCAACAACGACGCCGCCGCTGCATGCACTAGCACTGCCACCACTACCAGCTGCTGCGTCGCGTCGTTGCATACACTTCTCCAATGCCATTTTCAATGATTTTCGTTTACGTTGTTTTGCTGCTGCTTTTTGCGCACTCATGACTACTGCTGCCGCCGCTGTTGCGGCCGCATCCTATTGTGAATGATTCGCGGTCGCCGCCGCAGCCGCAGCGACAATGGAGGCGGGCGCAATGCCGGTGGCGGCGACATTTAAGCCAATCTCCTGTTTGTGTTCGCGTGCGATGTGTCGACGTACGGTGTTGTTGCGGGTGAAGGTGCGCGAACAGAATGGACAATGTACGCGGATGCCTTGATGACGTTGGCGGATGTGGGCGCGCAGATTTGTTTCATAGCCGTACAGGCGATCACAATACAGGCACTTCAGCTTCTTACCTACGTCGCGGTGGTATGGGTAGGTGAGGAAAGAAGATTAGTATGAGATTTTCAAAGTAGAATAAAAAACAAGTGAATATAAAATAAGGCATATCATAAAAAGAGAGAGCTGAATAAAATACCAAATTATGGTACGTTTAGGTTTTCTAGGCATGATTCTATGCTTTTTGGTTAGTATTTCTTTATGTAAAATATTGTCTTTTAATGGTTTTGTATTTACCGTCCGCTGTATTGACCATGCCACTGTTTTTATTATTCAATTTCGTCGCATTCCATACATTCAACATGTCCTCCGGCGCTATGGAGTTAGCCAAATTGCTTGGTAGGCCAGCTTCGACGTTTTTAAGATTCTCTAGTAGCGCTGATGGTGTTGTAGAAGATGCGTTCGAGGTGGGCGGGTGCTGCGGTGCGGGCGAATAATTGGAATTCTCCAGTTTCACGCGCAGATCCTCGGCTCCGTTCTGTAAGCAACAAGAAGGACACACATTATATATATACTTAAGCGCTCAAAGACAAACTGCACACAAACTCACATCAATCGATTCGTCGTGCTCGCTTTGGTCATCATCATTAGCCTCGTGTGTGCTTCCATTGTTTCGTTCCGTTTTCACCGTTCGATCCAGATTGCCAGACATATTGCTCGGCGCATTGCCATTGCCTGCTGTGGCACAAGGACTGTGATTTTCATAACGACTGTGAATAGAAGAGTGAAACCAAATCTTACAACTCTCAGCTTAAACTGTTTTTGTGCAGCCTTTACACATTCTTCCATTCGTAAGAATTTTATACTACTTCGTACTTATCCACTCACCTCGGTGATGTTCGCTCCGATTGCATTGTGTCCGCCTCGGTGGGTGCATTCGACGATGCACTCGACGAAGGCCGATGGTAGGGCAGTTTGCTGATAGGGCTCGCACATTCAGACGAAGAATTTTTCGAACCATCACGTAGTACGCTACCGCGCACTTCTTGCTCGCCATAGGGACTGCGTAGCGCGCGTTTACGTATCGGCGGTTCCAAGGACATGTGACGATAAATTGGTGGCGGCACATAGGGTGGTATGCCGGCGGCCAGCGCTGCTGCGGCACTACTTTGCATTAGTGAATCGCATTCCTGTTTCAAATTACTACTCGAACTGCTCAGATTATGTGCAACGCCAGCGCCGCTACCCAAACCAACTGAACTACCGCCACTACCACTACCACCACCACCACCGCCACCACTGCCACCTGCAGCAGCGGCACTTGCTGCAGCCGCACTTATTGCTGCTGCGGCATTACAATGAGCTGCATTACCGGGTCCGCTGATAATGTTGCCACCCATACAGCCACTACTACCAACTCCACCACTACCGTTACCACCGCTATTCCGCATGCGTTCCGCATTCTCAGCCATTACAGCAGCCATATTGCCACCGATAATAGCACCACTGGGTATGCCAACACCAACACCGCTACCACCACCAACACCGCTGGCACCTATACTGCTAAGCGGATTGCCGCCCATTGCACTGCCGATGCCTTGACCACCACCGCTGAGGCTGTTTCGCATACTGCGTCGACCGTTGGGCGATTCGAGTGGCGATGTATCGATGTGTTGTTGAGCTTGTTGTGCGGCCAAGCGACCGGTTTCTGTGGAGAGTCCTTTAACCTGCAATTTTGAAAATGTTTTGTAGTTGTAAAGGGAGATTTTTTTTTAAATTTTTTTTTTTAATTTACCTGCAGATTTTCCGCTGATTTAAGGAAACTGTTTAGAGCCTCTTGTGACACATGCACCTCACCTTTGTACATAAATTCGAGCAGTGCAGCCATATTATCGGAGGATGTTGCCTCCAATATGACAACGCATTGTCCATTTGTTGGTGTGCTCTCGAACAGTTCAGCGAATTTTTTCGAGCATGCGGCCAATATGAGTTTGTGTGCTTTGAATACTGTGCCTGAAATTGAAGAAATTAGAATTGGGGAAATTAATTTTGTTTAAAAAAACTGATTATTGGGAAAGAAAAATATTTTGTATTACGTGAAAAAATAAAAAAAAAATTTAAAAAATTAATAATTTTTAATTTTTATTCATTTTTAGCTTAAAAATTTTTAAGTTACATTCTCGCTTTTTTAGTTCTTTTAGGTTCACATTCAGACTATGGAAGCATTTTAAATCAAAAATTTCAGTGTTTGAACGTCGTCGTTTAAGCGCTGAAAGGACTTTAAAGCATACATTTGCCCTCGTGTATTATTCCGAAGGCTACATCTAGGCACTTTCATCATTTTAAAGCCTAAATTTGGACTTATCGAAAATTCAATTTAAAGGCTTAAATCAATTAATAGTATATAGTGTAGTATTTGAGAGCTAAAAAGGGAAGCAAGACGCATCTGCAGACAAAAAAGAAAGAGGCCGAGATGCGTGAGTACGAGGAACTTGAGAAGCTAGCCGACAAGGGTAATACTCGTAATTTCTACGAAAAGATACGGCGACATTAACGAAGGTTTCAAGACTGGAGCTCTTGTAGAACTCAGAGCTAGTGATGGATGCCTACAGTATATTCAATCTATGGAGGGAACGCTTCTCCAGCCTGAAGAATGGCAGTGAAATTGAATCTCCCGGAAAAGATGAGCCCGAAACTCCAATTCGGACTGATCAGGTGCATGCATCAGCTTCTTTGTCAAATATGGTCGAATGAAAGCATGACCGACGATTGGAACCTCTGCACAATCCATAAAAAGGACGATCACCAACTATCGTGGCGTCATATAAGGTCCTGTTGAGCGTATTGTGTGAAAGACTGAAGCCCACCGTCAAACAAACTGATTGGACCTTATCAGAGTGGCTTTAGACCTGGTAAGTCAAACAATCTCGGAAAAGATCCGTAAAAAGAGGATCGGAACAAACCACCTCTTCGTCGATTTTAAAGCAGCCTTCGAGAGCACGAAACGACATCCTCCACGCAAAACTTATACGGCTGTGTAAATTGACCTTAAGCCACACAAAAGCTCCGTCAGAATCGGGAAGGACCTCTCCGAGTCGTTCGATACCGAACGAGGTTTCAGACAAGGTGAATCTTTATTATGTGAGCTGCAGAGCTGAATAGAGAAGGTACAATCTTCTACAAGAGTGTTTTATTGCCCTTAACATCCGCGCCGTGAGTTCTGCTTTTTCCGGATTTGATAAAGAAGCGAAGCGAATGGGTTTGGTAGTGAACGAGACGAAATATCTCCTGTCATTAAACAAACAGTCATCGCCTTCGCGAATCGGTTCTCACGTCACTATTGACAGTCATAACTTTGAAGTCGTAGATAATTTCATCTATCTAGGAACCAGCATCAACACCAACAATAATGTCAGCCTTGAAATCTAACGCAAATGCAAAGTTAACGGCGAATACCGTAGACGATGGAACGATGAGCTTTACGAGCTATACAATGATATTGACATAGTTCAGCGAATAAAGAGAAAACGACTACGATGGCGGGGTCATGGTCATGTCGTCCGAATCGATGAAAGCACTCCAGCTTTGAAAGCATTCGATGCAGTACCCGCTGGCAGAGGAAGACCTCGACTTCGTTGGAAGGACCAGTGGAAAGTGACCTGGCGGTACCAACGCCAATAAAGAAGAAGAAGAAGAAATATTTTAAAGCCCCCTTTTTAGGTTAGTGTAGTGATCTAAAGCATATATTCGACTCTACAAAAATTCTATAGCCTACAATTGGGCTTTAAAAGCATTTTAAAGCATACATTTACGCGCTTTAAGTATTTTTATATAACTTCCCTGTTTATTGATTTACATTAAGCAACCGTATACAGGATAAGTTATTGCCAACTTGTTGATATTTAAATTAATTTGGGTAACATAAACTTCCTCTTCCTTTTTCCTTTGAGTCATAAATTCATATACAGACACCCACAATTACATAAAAGTAAGAAAATTTAGAGTATATTTTTTGGCGATGTAGGGAAAAGTGGAAGAAGTGAGATGATACTCACAAATGAAATAACTGTACATACATATGATACATACATATGTGGCATTTTCTAAGCATAGCTATGTGTTTGGAAAATATTTAAGAACCCCCAAGACGTCAAGAGCCTTATTAAATAGCGCTCACTTTATGTAAATACCCACGCGTATATACATACATATAAATATATATGTATATACATACGTATATATAAAGAAATTTATTGTACAATATTTTGAAAATAAAAAGACACCAAAGGAGGGCAACCAGCCCAGCAAAATGTTGAACTAAAGACCTTGAACTCATAAAATCAAGGCAAATACCCAGTTCTATATTACTAACGTATTTGTATATAATATTAAAATAAATACTCATGTATATGCATATGTAAATGTATCTATAAACCTACATATTTGGCAGTTAACTCAAAAGGACGTAAAATAATAAAGGACATGAATACACTGGAGCATAAATACCTTGTCATTTACACACAAATGCATATATGTATACATGTGTGTATATAGATACATATGTATAAAAATAGCGTCTAAACACATATATACGTAGCAAAAGCGAGGAACAAGCAGAGATAATGTAGAGAAACCAAGCAAATAATTTCCTTGGTCTTGAAAAGCAACAAAGTTTTGTTAAAGAAAACTTTCAAAGACAACCTGGAATAGAAGTAGGTGGGCAAGAGAACAACAATTCAGACCAGTGGGTGGGTGGATGGCTGGTGATAATAATTGTGTTGAGAGTGATAAGCAAGAGAAGCAGACAGAAAAAAAAATGATAAAAAAAATAAAGATAACAACAACGGCAGCTGCTACCAAGACAACATCGACAAACCGCCAAAGAAGATTTTTATATGGAAAATAATGCGGCATAAAAGTAAGTGTATAAACCACAAGAAAATACATACACCGTTATAAACATATATACATACATATACAGATATATATATATATATATGAACCGACACGGGAGCTTTGTTGTTGTGGAAATGCTATACAATTTGTTAGAAACTCAAGTAAAAGTGATATGTCTTCGAAAAAAAGGAGAAGAAAGTCACGCAAGCGACTGAAGATTTAGTTCAGTATATACATATAAGTATATATTTATATATATATACATATTTTATCTTATTTACAAACAAAAACTCACAAATGCAATATTTACAGAGCATTTTGGGAGAGTTTTTCCGGAGAGGAGTGTAGAAATCTAGCATGTATCAGCTGCAATGATAACCCAATCGGTCTGAAAGCTGCTGCTCACATATATATTTACATGCTTTTAAAAGTTTTTTTTTTTTCGATACATATTTTTTCTCAGTTAAACAGAATGCTGTTACCTTACTTTTGCCAAATACTGTAAGAACTTGCTATCAACAAACAACATAGATACATACATACATACGTACTATATACAATGTACTTAAATTCCTATATATTTATATATGATAACCTATAATATTATTTATTTGAACTTGATTTCTTTATGGGGCACTTGTCGGCAAATGAAGTATCATACACACATACATACATATATATATACATATGATAAAACGCAAGTTTACTACAACTGCACCCCTACTCCCACTGAATGATAAATGTCGCCATGGCGCAGTTTTCGAGTATCATTAAGGCACAAACTTCTTACTTAAGCGCAAAATAGAAAAGACATTGACGTTGACAAGCGCAACTAAGAAGAATAAATCAAAGGAGCTGGAAGTGAAGCACGACTGTGTTGCAGACATGAAAAGGCGAAAGTTAATAAATGAGGGAGCAAGAATACATACATACATAAATGTATATGAAAGCATGAAACATTTATATATGTATAAAAGCAGGACAAGGTAGATATGGTAAATAAATATACATACACATATAAATATATACAATATATACATAAATATCTTTCAATTCCTTATGCTCCCTGCCTAATCTATATATTACACTCTTATATACATATTTATATATTTATATAATGTATCTTGTTTTCGACTCTTCTGGGAAAATCTTCAATATTGAACAGCTGTCTACATTTTTGAGTCTCCGCATGGCGTGTGGGTGGTGAGGAGTGGGGGGGGGGGGGGGAATAATGTGACAAGTTACATTTGTGTTTCTTGAAGCTGCTGCAATATTTATTATGGCGGTGAACACGTTAATATTATTTACAATGTTTTCTACTGGTATGGAAAAAAAAACAAAAACAAAGAGTACGAGATAAAGGAGTGTAACATATTTTAGGAATAAAAAAAAAACACAACTTTAAAAGGGCAACGTAGGAATGCGCCATAAAATTAAAAATAAATAAAACTAAATTGTATTTAAATAGATTAAAAAAAACTTCAAATATATATGTTAAAATTTTTAATAATTATTAAATACACATAAATAACAATGAAGCAAAAATAAATTGAGATTTTATTTGAATAAAAAATAAAAAACGTAAAGTAAAAAAAATATAGTATATTCTAATATTATTATAATAATAAAATGTTTAAATAAAATAAGAAATTAAGTGAAATAAAAAATAAATTAAAAAAAAAAATTTAAATAAAAAATAGAAATAATTAAAAAAATATACAACGAACAAAAAATTAAATATACAATATGCTTTTTAATAAAATGTGGAGTACATAAAAAAGAAGATAAGACAAAACTAAAATAATTAAATAAATAGATAAAAAATAGATTAAAATAAATAAATTCAAAATAAAATAAGGAATTAATTTAAAAACAAAAAAGAGAATCAAAAAGAATTTAAAATGAAGTGATATAAAATACATACATATTATAAAAAAAAAAGGAAAATAAACTAATTTTTTTAAGTAAAATATTTAGTACGAATGCAAACTAAAATTCTAAAAAAAAAATTGAAAACTATTGTATATAAAATAAAATAATTTCATTAATAATATGAATAAGTAAATCTAACTAAGGTGAAATAACAAAAAAAACTAACTAAAGTACATAAGGTGAAG